CAGGCTGTTGGTGGAAGCTTTTTGGGAGGCTGGTTAGTGGTGGAAAATGCTAGCAAATTGTCTTTTTTCTAGGGATCCAGAGCGTCCGTTTGACATCGAACGTCCGAGGAATTGGGGCTCGTTTGGAGCAGACTCAATGGGTTAAAGCCGTGGCGGAGGGGTGGTTTCAGATGCTTTTGGGAGGCTGGAAAGCTTTTGGCAGGCTGTTGGTGGAAGCTTTTTGGGAGGCTGGTTAGTGGTGGAAAATGCTAGCGAATTGTCTTTTTTCTAGGGATCCAGAGCGTCCGTTTGACATCGAATGTCCGAAGAATTGGGGCTCGTTTGGAGCAGAACTCAATGGGTTAAAGCCGTGGCGAAGGGGTGGTTTCAGAGGCTTTTTGGGAGGCTGATTACTGGTGGAAAGTGGTCTTTTTTCTGGGGAACCAGAGCGTCCGTTTGACATCGAACGTCTGAGGAATTGGGGCTCGTTTGGAGCAGAACTCAATGGGTTAAAGCCGTGGTGAAGGGGTGGTTTCAGATGCTTTTTGGGAGGCTGGTTAGTGGTGGAAAATGCTAGCAAATTGTCTTTTTTCTAGGGATCCAGAGCGTCCGTTTGACATGGAACGTCCGAGGAATTGGGGCTCGTTTGGAGCAGAACTCAATGGGTTAAAGCCGTGGCGGAGGGGTGGTTTCAGATGCTTTTGGGAGGCTCGAAAAGGCTAGAAATTTTTTTTGGTGTGTTCTACACGGCACTGTTCCACGCTTCGCACGGGCATGGCTTACCGTTAGGCTTGTCATGTTTGACTCGAATTCGCCCACTCAGCTTAGTCGATCAGACATGTGCACTACATTGCGGACACGTGTGTTCGTGTTGGCGACCAGCAACCACGCCATCTAGCACGCGAAATTGGCGGTTGCATGCGGCTCGATGGTCGATTTGGCCAGTTCGTACTGCGCTGTGGCCTCCTCGCCTCCTCGCCTGTCGCCCCCTGAGAATCCGGGGTCGGCGGCAGGGGCGGCAGCCCTTAAATCCGGCCAGGGGCCTGGCCGTGTCTTTGCCGTAGGCATCTCTCCTCTCCGAAGGAGAGAGTGGAGTCCCGCCCCTACCGCCGACCCCTGCGCAGTCCCGCGTTTTACAGTGTTTTCTGCTTCTTGCATTTTTCCGGCTTTGTGGCTCAAGATGGGTCAACGTGGCGCAGCATAAGCCGAAAAAAGTGCCCAAGTTGGGCCAACATGGCCGCAAGATGGGCCAACATGGGCCAACATAGGGTCAAGATGGGCCAACATAGCCCCCAAGCTGGGTCAAGATAACCCCACGATGGGTCAACATAGCCCCAAGATGGGCCAACATAGCCCCCAAGATGGGCCAACCTAGCCCCAAGATGGTTGCCGAAAACCTGGGTTTTCCATTGGGTTTTCTCCGGTTTTTTGCGTTTCCTCTTTGTTTGGGCCAACACAGAGGCAAGATCGGACGACATATGTCTAAGCTGGGCCAACAGAAGGTCAAGGTGGGGCAGCAGAGGGCAGCAACAACCACAACCACCACCACAACCACGTACAGCCCCTTTTTCCCT